TCCTGACTTTGTGTGACCCGCAGCAGGATATCAAGCTCTGAGGAACACGAACATTCTGACCATTATGCCCCCCCCATTGATCACTGTGATATGTACAGCCCTCTGGAATCCTCAGAACCCCACAAGTCCACTTCATTGGCTAAGCACCCCTAGCTGCACACAGCTGGGAGCCCCCCCCCTCCAGAGTCCCTGCTGGGAGCCTAAGTTTCCAGTTTCTAGTGACCTCTGTGCTGCCACCGCACTCTGAACCTCCTGGGAATGTGGAACATATATCACGCGTGTACCTCTCTTCCGGCTTTTGCAACCTGCCTCCGGCCAGCCCAGGACCTGCTTAGCTTTGGAAGGGAGCTTCCACTCCAGCCTGGTTTTGATGAGCCTGCCTCCTGACGGCTGAACACGCTTTGGGTCCCTTTTGCATTTATCCTAGGTGCCGTGTGCGGTGCAGCCCCAGGTAGCCATGGAACCTCCTAGCTCTTTCTTGCCCCCATGGCCAGTAGAGGTGCCTGCGGAGCTGGCAGGGTACTCAAGCCAGACTTCCTGCGGCTTGCCTCCGCCTCTAACTTCTAGCTCAACCACGGATGAGAGTAATGGCGGCAGAGACTTCCCTCGGGAGGACAGGCAGAGACACTTTGAGGAGGTGAGAAGAGGGCTCTGCCCTTCTGTGGAGTGTTTCCCCAAATTTTGCCTTCTGGAAATTCCCCAGAGGTCTCTTGAATACACGCTCCAGCTAGACCAAGAGATGTGTTTCAAGGAAGAGCACACGTTAACTAATTAACTCATTTAGCACCTGGTCGTCACACATTTACTGGGTTCTTATTACGTTCAAGGCACCGTAACAGCTACTGTGCGGGCCACAAAGATGACGAGACGTGCTTTCTGTCTATGAGGTTCTCACCGGTGAGGTAGATAGCCAGCAACAGAATGGGTCCCGTGGGCTGGTCATGGGACGGGTGCTCTTAACTGAAGTGTCCGGTTCCTTGGGAATTTAGAGAAAGGAGCACTCGTTGTGGCTGGGAGGATCAGAGGCTCAGGCGTCCGTATGGCTTCTTACTGGTCACGTAGTCCTTGTAGGACTTGAGGTGGCATTGAGCATGCAAGTGGGGCAGACGTGAATGTTGCCCCTGGGTGTTGTTGAGCCAGGTACGCTTTGGCCCACCAGGAGAACGACTAGATGCCCCTGCCCTCACATCTCCTCCCGGAGTGAACAAAACTCTTGGGTTGGGGTGCAGGTTGGATTGGGAGTCCCCTAAAAGGCACGCAGAAGCCCAACTCCCGGACACCAACTTTTAGACGTTGCTGGTGGATGCCACAGATCCATTTGGCTAGGGGAATCATTTTACAAATGGTAGCCTGTTGCAAGATTCCCGCCTGGGTTCCATTGCCCCCTTTAGCCCCCGAAATAACACACAGGGACTCTATTTGCTACAATGCTGTTGGCCAATGCAGAGGGCTTCTCGTTGGCTAGTTCTGTCTTAAGTAGTAACCCATAAATACTAATATATATTTATAAACTCTTATCTTACCGAGGACGCAACCTCATGCGTCCTCTCTCCCCGGGATCACCTGGCGACACCTACTCTTGACTACATTTCCCAGAATCCTCCTCAACTCCTAGTCCCCCCCTATCTTGCTTCCCTATTGGCCAACAGTGCTTAACTATCAACCAATAGGGCAATATATATACACAGAAGGACATTCCCCCATCAGTAGCCTGACACGAAGTGCCTGGGACTCTATAAGGAGGCAGCATGGGATGACACACAGGGTCTCTGTTAAGGTTCATGGGACAATGACACAGAGACCAGAGTGATTTATCTCAGTCCAAGGGACACCCAAGGATGGTTGTGAACCCCTAGAAGTTGGGAGAGGCAGGAATGGTCCTTGGTGGGTCGGGACCCACTTGGATTCTATTTCAGACTTTACACTCCCGGGGACAAAAGCTGTCTGTGACTTTAGGTTTCTGAGTTTGGGGGAACTTTGTTACAGCCTCCGTAGGAGGCTCGCACAGTTAAGAAGGAAGCTGGTCTCTAGGATACGTCTACCTCCTGAATAATTTGGAGAGGCAAATATTTGAGGTCAGCTGGAAAATCCAGTGAGAGATAAATTCTTCAACCGAACAGTGTTGGAATCCCTGGATGGAAACGAGCTTATATTTAAAGCTTATTGTATGACTTCTGCAAAGCTTCCCTGGCTTGAAAAGCCCACAGAGAAAGAGTAAGAAAAGAGAGGAAACAAAAAAAACTTGCAAAGTTCAAGGACTACTGTTTTGGATGTTTTTTTGCACAACCTTGACTCAGTTCTGTTCAACAAAGTCAGTCAAGGTTGGCATTGCCCCCCTGGAAAGGTAGTTTGCCCCTTAGCTGTCTTTTAAACTGATGAGCGTTTCTCGGGGTGGGGGGTGTCTCAGTTTGAAGGGGTGCAAGCCACCTCCCTGTTGAGGATGGCTGCCCAGAAGAAGTTGGCATCGGGGGAGGCCTCTCCTCAGACTGTGTCAGGGGCCAGGAGAAGGGTCACAGAGACAGGAGCCCAGCAGCAGGTCTCACCCCTGGCTCCCCCCCCCTCCAGACGTCTGTCTCCTCACAGAATGGATAGGGTTTGTCTGTGGCGCTCCCCCTCTCTCCCCACCCCTGTGCACACATCCCCAGTAAACAGGGCCCTGGTTCAACTGAAAGAGCACTGATGAGTTTTCCTAGCTAGGGGATGTATCCCTCTCCCAGTCTGTGCCGTTAGCTTCTGGGCCCATGGTTGGACATGAATGGGCCAAAATATTCACGGTTCCCCTCGAGGGCATGCGGTGACCCCTCCCCAGGCTTCGGTGACCGCACGACTCCCTCAGGAAACTGAAGAAGGGATGTGCGTGTCAGTGACTTCTCTCAGAGCCAGAATGAGAGTCCCCTGATTCCTTTCTTCCTGGTCTGCAGCGCCTGTTCCCGGTGGACGCCACGATGACAGGAGTCCAACTTGAGCATTCATCCTAGCTGCTAGACTGTACGCCTGATCTGGGTGGGGCTAGTAGATACTATAGTTACTCCCCCACTCCTGACAGACTCTTAGAGATGCTCTCCCATAGTAACAGGCGAGCTCCCCTACTAACCTGTAGTCCATAGTAACAGACTAACCTCCGCACCCCACAGGAGCACATGAATAATATGCTAACCTTTGCACCCCATAGTAACACTCTAACCTCTGTACCCTATAGTAACAGGCTAACCTCTGTACCCACAATAACAACAGGCAAGTTCCCTGACTAATCTTTGCACCCCATAATACAGGAAAGCTCCCTGACTAACTTCTGTACCCCACAGTACAGGCAAGCTCTCTGACTAACTTCTGCACCCCATAGTACAGGCAAGCTCCCTGACTAACCTCTGCACCCCATAGTACAAGCAAGCTTCCTGACTAACCTCTGCACCCCACAGTACAGGCAAGCTCCCAGACTAACCTCTGCACCCCTTGAGCACTGGAGACTGTTTACCTTTAGAGAAAGCAAGTCTTGGGGGGGTCTCAGCTTGCCTGCCCCACCAGTAATATGCACCATGCCCCTTTTCTCCTGACAATGTCTCCAGCTGCTGAGGAGGCTCTGCTTGTACCTCACATGAGCACTGCAGGCCCCACGGGGGAGTCTTACGAGGTGTGGACCTCCTGTCCTCAACCCGTCTGTGAGCTGCTTGTATTCTCCCTGCTTCCTGTCACCTGCTCTCAGGCAGCCATCTCTTCTGCCGGGGTTAGCCGTGCCGTGCCCAACTAACGGGCACCTCTTCTAGCCCAAGCCAGCTGATGAGCCATGATGAGTACTAAGTAGTTAGGGTTTCCCACTCAGAGATCCATTGCAAACCACCTGACAGGGAGCCACAGAGTAGCCACGGCAATGTGACGGTTCACCTCTACCCGGTCAGAATGGCCCTCCCTTAAACAACTTGTGTGCTTGACTGAGCATTCAGGGTGGGAGTTCCCAACCCAACTTCTGATGTGCCAAGAATTCAGATGGCCAGAATCTGAGACGTGCTTACCAACAAAGCTCACTTACAAATAGTAGTAGCCTGACACTCCTCATTTCATCTCTGCATTCATAAACAAACCTTGGCAGCTAAAGCATGGACTTTTTAAACTGGGAGGGCGAGGGCATCCGCGGCAGGCCACTGCCACATCTTTTGTTTTCGAGGAGAGACGCAGTACCTACTTAAGGTTCCATTTCCATTTCAATATGCGTTTAGTTCCCAAACTAAACAAGGCATATTATTGTTGAGTTTGCTTTTCGTGGAGCACACTTTTTCCCTTACATAATTAATCTATGGTGAATTAAAAAGCATACATCACGCTAAACTGAAAAGAGCCAATATTTGACTTGATATATTATCAATATTTTAAAGACCGTGCTAAATGAATTTTACAATTAAAAAACAGGTGCTGATCGGAAGTTCACTTAAATTTCACTCAAAAATTACCTTTTCCCCCATATGCCATATAAAAAGTAAACTGACCTTAAAAAAATCCACAGGTAAAGGGCATTCTCTCCAATAAATGGTGTGGGAAAACGAGATCCTCACTCAGAAAAAACAATTCAGGCCCTTATGTAATGCTCCATGCAAGAGCTAGCTCAAAATAGAGCCACGATTGAGTGGCAGAGAGAAAACTATTGACTTGAGAGAAAACACAGAGGGAAGTCTTTTCTGCATCAGATCTGGTAATGATTTCCTTGATATAATACTAGAAACAGACAAAGAAAGCAGAACTAGATAAATTCAGGTTCATCAAACATAAAAACAAAAGAACCTTTCATGAACAGTATCCAGTGATTATTACCCACAGTATACAGGGGTGCAGGGGGCTCTACACACACACACACACACACACACACACACACACACACGAGCATGCGCACACACGCATGCACACACCCGATCACACACTCACGCGTGCATACACACACGCACATGCACGCATGCATGCACACACCCGCTCACACACTCATTCTTGCACACACGCGTGCATGCACACACTCACACACATGCCCATGCCCACATTCACACACACACACATGGGCACACACACACTTGTGTGTGCATCTGAGTTCAAAGTGGGGAAATGACTTGGAAGACCTTTCTCCAAAACAGATGCACGGATCCCAAGGAGGACACAGAGAAGATGCCCAGCATCTCTGATGTTGGGAACCAATCAGGTCTCAGAGAGAACCCACTTGTTGGGATGACAACTGTAAAAATTAAAGCATAACACGTGCTGGTGAGGAGGTGGGGAATTTGGAGCCTCGGTTCTTGTGGAAATGCAGATGGCACCACTCCCCCTGGGAGCCAGGGTCCTCAGGTCAACGTGGGATCACTGAAGGAGCCGGGGGTTCTTCTTCTGGAACTGAAAACTGGGACCCCGATAGATGTATGTGCATAGAGGCACTTTTCCCAACAGCCAAGGGGGGCGGGAGCAACCCAAGGCTGCCTCCTAAAACGTGTGCGTCAGCAACATGCATTCCATCCGCATTCTAGAATTTTTTTATGCCTTTAAGGTAGGAGGTTCTGGCACATTCAACAACTGGATGAGCCCTGGAGGTGTTATGATCAGAAAAGTGGGCCAGCATCTCTAAAGGATGAATATCGTACAATCCCGCCCTCAGGAAGACCCAAGGGGCTATCAGATTCCCAGAGAGAAAGCAAACCATGGGCACCCCCAGGGCTTGGAAGGGGCCTGGAGAGTAACTGTTTAACGGGGACAGCATCTCAATATGGGAAGACAAGAAAGTTCTAGGGGTGGACAGTGGGGATGGCCGTACATCACCTACTTAATGTGGCGGGGCTGCTTAGAAGAGGCCGGTGGCGACTTTTTGTGAATGACCGGGAGAAAAGGGGCGGGAGAGGCATCGGTGTAAATGGTGTGGAAGGTGTGGTGCTGTGGGTTGCCAGGTGCAAATCTGGGGTCCTGGCTGTGGTAAACTCTGCCATCCCCATGCTCACCAAGTGACAGTGTCACAGCCCAGCTCAGCCCAGTGTCATCCCCCTTAGCTACATGGACCTGTGGGCCCCAGCTCACCCTGTGGGTACTAGATGGGCCCTGTCTGTCCCTGGAGGGTCACATGCAGGCACCCCAGGAGCGTTTGGTAATGAGCCTGCTCAGCCTGTCTCTGGACCCCAGTGGACTGGATGCAGCTGTCTGTGCAGATAAAATTCCCAAGTGACCTTCTTGATACCTCCCGCTTGGTCCCCAGGAGCTTGTGAACTGGGTTGCTCTGGGCAGGAAGATTCCGTGGCTGGCACAGGAGAAGCCAGGAGGCCATTGTCGAGAAGAGGCCAGTACCACAGCCCTGAAGCTGACACAGGAATGGTACTCCAAGCATCTGCTCCATCCAGGGTCTGGGCCGAGGACAGGGAAGATGCTTGTACTCCCCAGGATAGGAGGTACACGGTGCCTTTTGGTTCAAAACACAAAACGGCTTTAAAGTTCAAGACCCATTGAGATTGGATTTTAGGAACACAAAGTCTCAAAACATTTGTACCCAACTAAGGGATTATACTCTTATCCTCCGAAAAGCTTTTGAAGAGGTAGGAAAGAAAGGTAGCTCAAATTTTAAATTGGGCCCTCAAAACTTGCTTGTCTGCGGCTCTTTCGGCCCGTCTGCCTATTATCAAAAGGTAAAATGTCTCAAGACTATTGAAAAAAGGATTTGCATGAATTGCTTTTGCCTGCTTTCTTATATGCGGTTAATGAAATTGGAACAAATAGGAATGAGTTCCCCACCCAGGCCAGCCCTGCACGCCCTGGAATAGACCCTCAAAGACTGGATGAGCTCAGGTTTGAGACCCCCACCCCCACCCCGGAGAGCTTCCTGTCTGCCTACTTGCCACGCTGGAGACGACCGCGTTGTGCAACGCAGACTATTGCACGCTATCGCCTCTTTGATGTCTTTGTGTAAAGAAAGAAGAGGGGCCAAACCACGCATGACCTCGGGTGGTTGGTTGGGGATCTGGGGGAGGCTGTGCTATGCTCTGCAGTCTGGGCCTCAGTTAGACCTCGCTGCTGCCTGAACTCTGACCTCGAGGGGCTGTGCCTGCCGCATGGCCACACCGTGCACTCCTTTTCCTGAGTTGATTTTTCTTTAAGGAAGTTTCGTCGTCCAAACGTGAAGGGGGGAGGATGTCCTTCTCTATATGTGTTTCTCTTATTGGTTGATGAATATAAAACACTGTTTGGCCAGTAGAGGCAGGGACACAGGCGGGACTAGGAGACAAGGAGAATCCTGGGAAAGGTAGGTGGAGGGAGACCTCAGAAAGATGCCGTGTGGTGGAGGGAGGAATAACGGGTCCGGGCATTCTCCAGTAAGCCAAGACCATGTGGAAATGCATAGATTAATAGAGATTGGTTAATCATTAAGACAGAGCTAGCCAATAGAAAAGCCCCAGACATTTAGCCAACGGTGTTATGATTAATATGGCATCCGAGCGTTTATTTGGGGCTGAAGCGGGCAGTGGGGCCTGGCGGGACAGGAAACTCCAGCTACACAAACAGGAGGGGTTTGGGTGGTTCCACCCGTTAGAAGAATCTGGGGTGGTTGGCGGGGACTTTTCATCTTCTACCTGGCCCCTGGGCACTGGGAGGTGGGTAGGAAGTAGAATGAAGCCTCCGGGGCTCACAAGCTGGGAGGGGACACCTGGGAGGGCCACAGGAAACAACTTCCTCTCCAGAGTAGAGGATGAAGTGCAGTGAGTGGGAATTGTCACAGCGTATGCATGGACCCCTGTCTGCCCTGTGGGGGTGGGGTAGGCAGGGGGGGCAGGGGGGCAGGTGAAGTCCTGGGAGAGGTCTGCAAGCCCTCATGTTCCTGCATCCCTTGTGTTCCTACAGCATCATTCCAGACGCTTCTCGCACGTCCCATGCTCTACCAGGGCTCCTTCACTCTTCCTCAGAAGGTTGAGGCTACTTCCTGTCATTTGGTGTCATGCACAAAGCTAGCTCTGCTGTGATAAGACTGCCTTGCTGCCTCTGCCTTTTTGCTGGGGAATGCAGACCAAGTACACGGGGGTTCGGCCACGACTCACCGAGGAAAGAGTAAACAGGCCATGCACTTTCCGTGGAGACTCGGGACTCATTCCCCACGTCTGTGTTTCCCCCCGTGTGACCCGGGCCACAGACACGGGCACAAAGACATGCTCCACGGATGCTTGACTGCCTCCTAAAGCGAGAACCGCACGCAGCCTTGTTAGCAGACTTCCTTTGCAAGCTTGTTTGTAAGAGACAGAAAGGGGGAAGGCTGGCTTTCAACATCTCCCATCCCCAGAGATGTGCAAATATTTTAGCAACATCCCAATGACTAAACAGTGATTCAGCCAAGATGCCAGAATAAATAGAATTATCTATTCTTAACTATGCTCCCTTCTTACTAAGATATTACAGGCTATACTTATTCCTGGAACGATGCCCTTTCCCTGGGCTTTGGAACGACAATGTAAGCTACCTCCATTGCCGGAGTGCTAGCCCGTGAGGTCACACCTTCACGCCTCTGCCTAGACGGAAGAGTGAGGGCCAATAGGTCAACCGTACAAGCCAGGCGTTTGGCTAGCGCCCCCTGCCCCCCACCTCCAGACTTGTCCATCTTCACACCTTTCACGGCGTGATGAACACAAACCGTGGACATCGCTCAGCAGCAGATGCTTTGGGGGGCCGCTGTGGAGGTGTCACCTCTCTAGAAGAGCAGCACCTATGATGCCACAGGCAGCTCAGTGTTTGTGATGTACTAGGGGCTCCCGGGGGACTTAACCCCATCCTATGGAGTACCTACATGATCACTGGGGCTCCCGGGGAGCTTAACCCTGCCCTGCTGAGTACCTACATTGTCACTAAGGTGTTTTATTGAGTACCTAGGAGTTCATGTGCATATGTTGCTTTGAAATGAATCCAGTGGCCACCATCTAGCTTTCCTCTGGCCCTACTCCCATGGACTAGCTTAGTCTTGACTAGAGATGGGTCAAGCAACCCTTCCCTGACCTTGGCTAGAAAGCCCACCACATGACACCTTGGAACTAAACGGAGACTACATTGGTAAATATGACAGCCCTTACCTATGCCTGTGGAGCCAACCGAGTCTTGTTGTGTTGGGCACAAGGGCCACTGGGACAGATGGACTAGCGTGGGTGTGATTATCCATCCCAGTGATGTGAACCTTATCTGGGCTCACACGCAAAATCTCAGGAGATCCGACTTTAAACATAAGGTTTCAAATCTCCCCCCTCAGAAACGACGAGGTCGCCCAAGATTCGGAGGGCGCTTGAAAGCAAGGAGTTGGAGTCAAGTGTGAGACGTCGGATGGCTCTCACATACTTTCAACTGCAGACCTGACCTAACTCCTGGGCTGGATCCCGAGCTCAGGGATGTGTGGGGGAGATGCACAGCATTGTTCAAGAAAGAATTGTGCTCAACTGCTCACCCTGCAAAGTACGTGCAGAGCATTTTCTCAGTGACTAGCTGCTCCCAAGGGCTGAGGGGACATTGGGACAGTGCATCGTACGATTTCGGTGCTTGGAGTCTTTTGTAGCATGGGAAGTGTGCCTGTGACATCATGAAGCTGTCTCTGAAGGAGCTCTCCTGCATCTCCCTAACCCTCTCTGGCTTTCTAGCTTGTGGCTCACCGGGTGGGTCTCCAAAGGGGAACTCGGGTGGCCATTGTGGACCCTTGAGTCCTAAGTCACAAGCGTACACTGTAGGAATCATCTGCATGTTCCAGTCCTGCCTGGGTGGATCCCAACTCTGCGTCCCAGCGTGCGTGAATGCTAGGTTGTCTCTGAGAGGTAGCAGGTCACAGAGCAGCACCCGTTATGGAACGGGTCCTTGTTGACCCTGACACCTCCTTTCCTGAAGCTGTTCAGAGGAAGGCAAAGGTGTTCCTCAGTGAGTTCAGTGAGTTCCAAGCTAAGCCAGAAGGCCTGTGGGTCTCACTCTGTTCATGTAAAAAACACCTAGTGGGAGTTATGGATTAGATCGATCTCTCTTCTCTCTCTCTCTCTCTCTCTCTCTCTCTCTCTCTCTCTCTCTCTCTCTCTCTCTCTCTCTCTCTCACACACACACACACACACCACACCCTGCCAATCCATATACTGAAGCCACGACGCACAACTTATAAAGCCTTTAAAGGTTCAATGAGGGAAAATATAAGCCCTGCTGACAATATACTATTGATGTCTTCATAAAATATATGAGATACCAGAGATGGAGAAATACAGAGGGGGGACTGTGGGGACACAGTAAGAAGGTGGGATCCACAAACTAAGAATAGAGGCCTCCGGAGAGCCAACTCTGTGACTCCTGAATTAGGGACTTTGGTGGGTGTATGCATGAAGGTTTTGAGCCCCTGTGTGAGGACTTGCCGCCACCTGGGTGATCCATAGGCTGCGTGAGACGATAGGTGACTTGGAATACCGCATCAATGGGGAAGACGACCATGACCTCTCGACCAGCTAGCTCCTGGGGCCTTGCTTACGAGCAGGATGCTGCGTGCCCATTTTATGTGTGGTTCCGTTCATTCCGGGAGAAGACAACTGGAGCAGGGCGTAAGTGGCCAGGGACAGCAGGAAGCCCCTGCCTTGAAGCCAGGTAATAGTTTCCCTCTACAGACGTGCCCCTCCTGGTGTTATGACTTGACATCTGTAAAGGGTAGAATATGTTTGTTTCCAGCCAGTGCCCTTTGTAGAGGCTCCATGATATTCCCGGGGGGCAGTTGTATCTCCTTAGCCGGGAAAAGCCTGTAGCAGGGTCACCCCAGCACCATGGACGAATATGATCAGCCAAGTTCTTGGGTCAGCTGCATTTATTTCGTGTGCCTATTGAAAAGTTGACTTGACAACTACCTTGTGAAAAGACTTTGTACACATTATGAGCGGCCCACCGCCTTCACCTAAGCATATCCACTTCTCCAGACAGCCTGGCCAGGCACTCCTGTGGAGGGCTGTCGCCCTGTAGCCAGACAGTGGTGAGACAGGAGGCCAATGTAATATGGAATATAATATATTTATTTACATACAAGCTGGGGGGGACAGAAAGCGTGGCAGGCTTCCAGAGGAAAAGAGAGCGAGAGAATCCTTTTTCTTTCCTTAAATAGCCCACCTGTCTAATCTTCATATCTCCGCCCCTTTTGGGCACATAGCTTTGTAGGCTCACCCCTACACACTGGTGTCGCATGAGCTGTCCCCAATATGGCCATGTGTGTTGAGAATCATCCACGGACAACCTGGATGCCTTCCATGGCACCTCAGGCAGGCTTGACTCCATGCGGGGTCAAGGGACCCGTGCATCCCCGGGCATGATTCTGGGCACACATGTCAAGTGAGCCGTGCACATAAGGGGGTCCCTTGAAGGACAACCTTGTAGCCTGGTGGAACCTGGCTTGATGTCCTGTCTCAGGGACGTGGAGGGGCTGGCCTTCCGGCTAGGACCAGTTCTTTTACATCTCCACGCCTGAGACTTAGGAACCACGTATAGAAGAATATAATAGTTGATACTGATTGTCCACTGGACGGGGCCTAGGATCATACAGGAGACAGAGCTGTAGCGCATCTGTGAGGGACTGTTTACATTAGGTCAATCCAGGTTGGAAGACACACCTTAATTGCAGGCCATGCCATTCCACGGGTTGGGGGCCTGGACTGAATGTAAAGGAGGAGAGACTAGCATCCATTTTTTTCCTGCTTCCTGGCTGCTGATTGGATGTGACCAGCTGTACTCTCTGCTTCCTGACTTCCTGGTGGTGATGGGCTGTACTCTCTGCTTCCTGACTTCCTGGTGGTGATGGGCTGTACCCTCTGCTGCCTGTTTCCCCTCGAACTATGAAGCAAAATAAAACCCTTCCTTCCTTCTTTTGCCAAGTTGCATTTATCTCATATATTATCACAGCCACGAGATAAGTGATGAATGCACACAGTAGGTGGGAGTCAATGCTCCCTTATCAGGGGCTCTGCACGGATCACCTCTGACCTGTGTGGAAATGGGCACCGTTTCCACACCAAAAACATCTGGGCACCACAGCCCTGGCAGAATCCTGCACAGAACCCGACCGTGATTGGAGGATGCAGCATCCTAACCTGGAGGTGCTCCCCCGCCTCCGCCCCCCCCACAACACACCGCTTGGACAGCGTGCATTTGAGGCAAGTGTGGGGATTGGCCTAGGATGGCTACGTGGGGGCTATCAGCCCCCAGGAAACACAGAGGCACAGGACCCAGCTGCTGCAGCCCCTTCCTGCCCTTCTTAGCATCCCAAAGAGCCTCAACGCCCTGGTGACTGAAGTTCTTAGACTTTAACATTGCTGCTTTATTACTTTGTGTGCATGGGTGTTAACGCCCGCGTGCACGCCTGTGCGCCACACGCGTGCCTGGTGCCTTCGGAGCTCAGGACAGCGTGTCGGATCCTCTGGAGCTGGGGTCATCAGGTGATGGGAGACAGACTCCTGGGAAGAGTAACCCGTGTTCTTAACCACTGGGCCATCTTCCCCAGCCCGCATTGGCGAACATTCTCGCAAACTTTATTGCAGCACAGATGCTTTTGCTTTTAAACACCGTGGGGCTCCCTCGGTAGTATATCATTAAATAAAAAAAATCTATTGGAACAAGGGCCTCACACCCAGTAGCTGCATTGACAAGAGTCAGGTTGTGCCCCAGCATGCGGCTTTCAGCCTCGGATGGCGCTTTGCTTCCTGGACTCCGGGAGGCCAACTTTTAGGCCGGCTGTGCTTGAACGCTACAGTTTTCTGACATCAGAGGGGACAACTGGGGGGGAGGGGAGAAGGGGCTCCCAAAGGAGCAGGGTCACCAGGACTTACAGCAGGACTCACAGGAAGTCGGGAGATGTGGCAAGTGTGGCTTGGGGCTATACAGATGCCGTAATGCTTTCAGTTTCGGGTTGGCATCTCCTCTGATCTATACTGGAATACCACCCTCCCCACGGGGAGGGGGAGAACAGAAAGAGCAGAAGGAATGCTTCCTGGCCGTGTCCCAGATTGTTTGTGGGGCCCTGATGCTTGAGATGCCCCGCTCTTAAATACAACCGTTGGGTGCCTGATGTCCGAGGCTTTGAATCGCCACTCGAGTCCTTGAGGCAAAAAAGTAGAGCTCTGTGCCGCTTCAGGAATGGCTTTTCATGCTCCTGGGTGGTTATGATCACAGTGATGCTGTGCGTGCCGGGAAGTCAAGAGGAGAAGGTGTATGTATGTATGTGTATGTATGTATGTATGTATGTATGTATGTATGTATGTATGTAGCATTCTACACAACCTGGAGACTCCAGGAGTTTTTGGAAGCGGCGGGGCTGGGGAATGCAGTGGAGGATGGATACACGCTGGAACTGCTATTCCCCCGAGTTCTGAGTTGCAATGCAGACGGCGTCCTGACCAGTGTAGCACTGAACACACCCACGAGGGTCCATTTCTTGCCCCCCCCCAAGCCCTCAGTAGAATGGAGTTTATTCTCACTGTTCAAGCTGTTCCTGAGAGAGGAGCCAAAGCCAGAGAGCCGCAACTCACCCAGGGTGACTCATGCACGGCACGGGAGCCTTCAGTGTCGGGGACGGCGGTGCCACCTCCTCCAGGGCTCCAGTCTCATCTGAGTCTTCGCTACCCTGAGTCACACACTGTGCCCTCATCTGGGCATCAACTTGCAGAACAGTGGTTGCGGCGGCGGCGGGGGGGCGTATGGGGGAGGGTCTCCAGCTGTGAACAGGATGCTCTACCCAGTGAGGTCATAGATCTGCTGCCCTAGGCAGCCTGCTCATGGCTACCAGCAAGGGGAGGTAGCTTTGCTTGGACTCAGAGGGATCTAAGCTTGGGATGGCCTGGACCTTCACATTCGATACAGCTCTTGCTCCTGCTTTCTCAAAAATAAATCCTGCCTTGTTTAAATGCATTTTTTCTGTGCATTTCTGGTTGTTAAGCAGACCGCAGGAGTGAGCGCGTCTCTGGCCACATGTTCTGCCACCGAAGCCAAGCGGCTCACGCTGCACTACTCGTTTTCAGAACGCTAGATTACCTGCACTGCTTAATTTTTTTTCTGCTGAGGTGACAAAAATGCCATGGCCAAGACAACCTATAGGAGAAAGAGTTTGTTCCAAGAGATGAGAGCCCACAGTGGTAGGGAGGCAGGCAAGGTGGAAGGATCTGAAAGCTGAGGGCCCACGTTTTAAAACACAGGCATGAAACGGGGAGATATAACTGAAATAGTGTGAGGTTTTTAATCCCCACTCCTCCCCCAGTGGCACACTTCACGAGGGAAGATCACAGCTCCAAGAGTCCCCAGACAGTGACACCAACTGGAAACCGAGTGTTTCAATGTTTGAGATGATGCGTGTGTGTGTGTGTGTGTGTGTGTGTGTGTGTGTGTGTGTGTGATTCGTACCATCGCACTGCCTTAATTCATTTTCCTATGAGTAGAAGCATTTAAAGTCATGCATATTTACTTTAATATATTCTCTGGGGGCATCAGGGTTTCACAGTGAGAGCTCTGGGGTCATTGGCTACTAATTCAGTTGCAAAAAAAAAAAGCCCTGATCCATTTAGCCTTGGGCCCCCTGGCTTGTTACCTGGCTTCTACACACAGGATCCAAGGTAGGTAATAAGTAGAACTCTGCTACAAAGCTGTTCCTTGTCCTGCTGAGCAGGGCATGGCTCGGGGTGGGGGGGCAGGCATGTGATGTCTTCTAATAAAGGTAATCTTTCTGAACAGTGTCCCAAGCCACCCTAACTGTCAAAGGATTGCCACCCTACCCCCTGCCCCCAGGCTGCTGGGACAGCCAGAGGCCTGCATCCATGGGCTGCTTGGTTTTCTTTTCGTGGCAACCTTGGATAATCCTCAACGTACAGTGTGGGTATTTTTCAGGAGAAGGCCCGGATGGAAACACATTCACTGTTTTGAAAGTGACTGACCACACAATGACCAAGGGGGGAGGGTCAAAATGTCACGTAAAAACACACATTCCATCTTGTGAGGGAGACAGAAACTCAATTCTCCCCTTACCGGAGAGGAAAAACAAACAACCAAACCGCCTCGCAGAAGATGGAGCCTGAGAGAAAACCCCGTCAGATTCCTGTAGCTTGGAAACAGATGATAAACTCCCTTGGCTCCTAACTCGCATCGGGGCATGTCTGTGCTGCTCGACGGGTCCTTGCGGGTTCCTAGACAGGGCTTTGCTTGAACGCCTTCACCGCGCATGATCTCACTCAACAAGGACCAGCTGAAAGTCGTGGGTAGAGAACACATACTCTCCACGTGTCTCAAGAAGAGGGAGACCCAAAGGCTCTCCCGCTGTGGCTGGCTGTTTCCTGCCAGCACAGAAGGCAATCCTGAGACTCGGAGGAGGGGAAACCATGTATGCACCCCCTCCACCACCAGTGGAAATCCAGAAGCCACCTGCTGGAGCTCAGAGTGCCACCCCTTCCTCTTGTGTCCTTGCCTGTCCCCTCCGTCAACACCACCTCAAGAGTCACGTTGCTGCGGGTGCTTTACAGTGGTCTAGGCGTGCCTGAGGATGGACACATGTGTGGGCCCGTGTTTAGAGGCCTGATCCTCATGCATCAAGGTTGGGATGAAAAAAGCCTTTCCGGGGTGGAGTCTTGTGGGGGGAAACACATTCAGGAGGGTTTAACATAGCTCTGACCACTCCTCAGTCTTTGGCTTCCTTGTGTACCATGTGAGTTGTGTTTAAAAATGTATGTTGGTGTTTCACCTGCATGTATGTATGTGTACCATGAGTGCCCGATGACAGAAAAGGGCACTGGATCCCTCGGAACTGAAGTCACAGATGATTGTGAGCCACTGTGTTGGTGTTGGGAACTGAACAGGGATCTTCTGCAGGAACAGCCAGTGCTCTTAACCTCTGAGCAACCCCTCGGCATGATCACTACTGCACACGTTTTTGCAACAAGAAGTCACAGCCAGGTGCCCTCACCATGTGCCATCATTGTTAGCTTTTATCAGCCACAATCACAGGTAAAGTACCTAGCCTCAGACATTTCATTGCAACAACAGAAAATGGGCTAAGATAGCTTTCTTGTATGTTTCTAAACATCTGGTGCTCTGAGCAGGGTAGGACAAAGCCATCCATGAGGCTCGAGTATAATCCAGTCATCTGCTCTCTGGAACATCAGTCTCAGTGCTTGCACACAGAGTCCTAGCAGGAGAAGGAAAGAGATACACAGCCAGACTACAGTGGCCGTGGTAGTGAAGAAGACTGCAGACAGACAACTGCCCCGGATGTCTTCTGGGCTTTGTGGAAGTCTTATCTTCTGGTCCTTGAAGTCCTGGCTCTTTAAGCACCCCACATGGTTATCTATCTATCTATCTATCTATCTATCTATCTATCTATCTATCTATCTATCTATCTATCTATCTATCTATCTATCATCTATTTATCTATCTAACTATCTACCTATCTATCATCTATCTATCTGAAGACTGGACTCCTGAGGATGGAGCCTGTCTTCTCTATCAGGAGGGCTAGTGAACCACGAGTAGTCGGGTGTAGGCAGCCCAGCACCCTCGCTGGCAGGTTTTCTGTGTGGACATTCTGGTTCTGTGTTGACCAGTACTTAAGCGACTAAGTATCCTTCCTCCCCAGATGCTCCCTTTAAGGTTACTGACATCAGTCAGTGTTTGGAGGCAAGGTTTTGTCCATAGCTTTCACTCCCTTCCTCACTATGTTGACCAGTCTGAGTAGTCACAGGGCTAATGTCGGAGCTGCTTTTGCCCAGGAGGATGTGTCTTGCGGCTGCGGCCGTTCCTCTCACAGTGTATTAAAGATTGCACCCTGGAGGCATTGGGGAGGGAGAAGCCAATGCAGTTCTCAGGGGTCATCAGGCAGGAAGCATCATT